TGTTTGGCGGGTCCGGGCTGGATTTGAACCCGCCACCTTAGGTGTATGTGGCTGGCGTCTTAGCCACTTGAGCCACAGGCACCGAGCCAGCACTGCAGTTTTTGATCCAATTGTGGGTGATGCTGAGCCTGCATCACAGGACCCAGGGATGGTGTCTCATGGTTCATCTCCTTTTTCTCTAGTGAAGTCCAAAATAGATGGTGTGGCTGGGATCGACTTCCGTCTGGTGAAACCTCCAATAATCACCACTGAGTACCTGGAGATACAGCTGAAGGTGAGGCTTACACGGAGAATCACAGAACCTCAAGCCTCTCCCTCAGACCCTCCCAGGAGCCCCTTGGTCCTTAGAAACAATCTTGTAATGACCTGTCCATCTCTTACCTGCCCCAGCACCCTCTCCCTCTCCACTCTCCTCTGACTCTCCCTGCTCCAGGCAGTCTGGCCTCCCGCTTTTCCCAAGGCACACTATGCCTGCCGTCCCCAGGGCCTTTGCACTTAACCATTCCCTCTGCCCAGGGTGCTCTCCCCCAGACAGCCACACAGCTCTCCTGTGCTTTCATCGGATCTTTGGTCGATTACCCCCTCCCTAGAGAGGTCTTCCTAGCCTACTCTTGCTGACATAGCTCTCTGCCCCCACATCCTGTTTGGTTACTAATTCACACACATGCACACACACTGTCTCGAGTCTATCTCCCTTACTATGATGAGAGGGAAGGGGCTGTGACTACCTTGTTCACTACTGTATATGCAGCACCTGGAACTATGCTCGGCATATAATAAGTGCTCAATAAATATTTGTTGGATGGATGGATGGAAGGGAAGATGAATGGGTGGATGGATGGGTGGATAGATGAATGAATGGATGGATGGATGATGGATGGGTGGATTAATGGATAGATGGATGGGTGGGGGCAAGGATGGGTGGATGGGTGGATGGGTAAATGGGTGGGTGGATGGGCAGACGGATGAATGGATATATGGATGGAATCTGATTTCATGCCACTTTCCCCCTTACTCACCACCCTCCAACCAGACACATTGGTCTTGCACCTCCTGAATTACATGAAGCTTATTGCTGCCTCAGGGCTGTTGTTCTTTCTGCCTGGAACTCTCTTCCCTCCCAGTGTCCACCTCTACCCTGCTGGCTTCTTACTCCCCGTGGGTCTCTGCTCAGCTGTCTCTCCCAGAGCAGTCTTCCCACCACCCCGGGCAGAGCAGGTCCCACCTCCTGGACTCCATGCTGCCCTTCGTCCTTCCCCAACCCATAATTTATTTCCTTTGCTTGTGGTGTACTGGTTTGTTCCAAAACACATTCAATGCAAAAAAGAACATTTAGAAACTACAGAGGAGTTGAGAAATAAACAGGAAGGAAGGAAAGAATAGAAAGAAATCACCCACCCAAGTCCTAAAAGCCAGAGATAAGCGTTGTCAACACACAGCAGACGCACACACACATACAAATACACACACATCCCATTTCTTTTTTTTTTTTTTTTTTTTTTTTGAGACAGAGCCTCAAGCTGTCCCCCTGGGTAAAGTGCCATGCGGGTCCGGGCTGGGGATTCGAACCCGCCACCCTAGGTGTACGTGGCTGACGCCTTAGCCAGTTGAGCTATAGGCGCTGAGCCACACATCCCATTTCTACGGAGAAAGAAACACACACAGAACCCACAGTAGGGGTTGGGGAAATGTCCACATATATCCTCGTATATAGACATAGAAATGCACCCATACACACGAGCATTTGCAGGTGACGTATCAGACATCCTGCTTTACAACAGTTCAGAATGGAAATGTGGAGCATGAATATCTTTCCGCGAACCATCCTCCTGCAGGCCTCTTACTGCCTGTTGGTTCTTTCAGTGGAAAGCTTGGGATAAGACACGCGGACACTGCCCCCTCCTGGGACATTTCGTCTCTTTCCATTTTTTTTTTTTTTCTACAAACATAACCAAAGCTGCAGTGCTCATCCTTATAATCCTACCCAAACTCAAATATTTTCTAGAAGTAGAATTGCAGAGCTAAATGTCATGCTAAAACCGTCCACATACGTCTAAGGGAGACAACAGAGTAAAAGAGAAAAACAAGGGGTAATTATCCACAGTGAATGAGAAAGCCCCATGGACCTCCTGGGCTCGTGCCAGGAAGGGGTGATGGCTGAAAACCATGGGGTGTGTTAATCACATAAATGCACAAGACGAGCCATCTAGATTTTGCCTTTCTCACTAACAAGTACGTAATGAATGTGGTTCCTGATCAGCTCACCAGTACGTATCATTTTTAAGAGCTGCCGATTTCGTACTCTGGGTGTCGGGTTCATTGATTTTAAACAATGAAATGATTCAAAAGGACAGAGAACGTTGCACACTTCCAAGTACCCACCGCCCAGATTTAAGAAATGTTAACATTTTGTCCTCTTTGCTTCTGGTTTCTTTTGTCAAAATGAAACACTGTAGAAATAAGGAGCTGAGGCCCCCTTGGGCAGTGCTCTACAAACCTGCCCCAGCCCAGGGGACCAAGCTGATGACATCAGCTGTGTGTATCCTTCTTGCTTATGTTTTTTTTTTTTTTAACTTTTTATGTGCCTTTAAATTTTACTTAAGTGGTATCCTAGCATATGTATCCATCACTAATTTGCCTTTTTAAGCTCAACATTATTCTTTAGCTCAATAAATGATCTGCTTTTGCAATGTGTTGCCAAATTGCTCTTCCTACATAATGCAAACAAGCCTAGAACACTCACCACAAGTTGGATGGGATCAGTTAACACGAACAACACTTAAAGCAATTTATTTCTTCTCAAATTTTGCTAACTTTATAGATGAAACCAACAAACAAGCAGAATTTCATTGCTCTCCTGATAGAATTTCTCTGCTTATTAGCAAGGTTGAAGCTGAGCCCGTGGAGTACTCAGTGGATGCCTGGGTTCAGTTCCTGGCTCTGCCACTAATCAGCTGTGTGACCTTGGACAAGTCATTTCCCTTCCTGTGCCTCCTTCTTCTCCTGTAAAACGAGTGGAATGACACCCTCTCCCAGGAGGTGTGATGCTATCATTAGTTTTGGGTCATTGCTTTTCCCTGTGTGTGTGACCCGTGTCCTCAGACCATTTATTCCTGGGATGCAGATGTTGAATTATAATTCCTGAAGGATGCCTGGGCTCACTCTATTGCCTCTACCCCCAGGGGGAGTTTTTCAGGATTTCCAACCCCTACCCACCTCCCTATACCCCACCAGCGATGGAGTTTCCTGCTGTCCACAACCGCATGTTGTACGTGGGCCTCTCTGAATACTTCTTCAACACAGCAGGGCTTGTGTACCAAGAGGCTGGAATCTTGAAACTGATGCTTAAGGATAAAATGGTAAGGCCGGTTGTGGGTAAGTGTAGGAAGAGCACTGGACTCAGAGTCCAGCAGAACTTCTGCATTTGAAGTTTTCTTTATGGGGAAGATCGGGTGTTGACTCCAGAGTTGGCCAGACCGAAATTCAAACGTTAGCCCCGTCCCTTTCTAGTCAGATCACTTTGGAGCAGTTAGTCAACCTCTCAGAACTTCAGCTTCCCTTTACTGTTACTAAGACACCAGTAACAGTATCTCCCTCAGAGTGGTGGGAGATGCCACAAGGATTAAAATGAAAGCATGAGAGGCCCTGAGCTCACACTGAGCCTGTGAGCATAAGGATGATGAATATGCCAGCTAACTGAGCACCTGCCATGGGTCCGGCTCTCTAATCCAGCCTTAGCAGCATGGGGCACCAGAGGCGGGAAAACTGAAGGTGGGGCACCCTATATGATTGGTCTGAGGGCATATTGGGCTTGCTCACAGGCAAGGAGGAGGCAAGTCGAGTGTCACTGACTGTATATCCTGGCCACTCTGAGCCAACTGCTACAGGAGTTGTGCTCTGGTTTCCAAGCTGGCTGCCGCAGAGGGGGTCAGCGTCCTGTGGTCACATCTGATCTGGCCATTGCCATTTGTGCATTTGGTCTCCAGCTACAATATAAGGCCTCAAGAGTCTTTTCTTTTCTCTTCTCGGGCTACAGATTCCAAAGGAATTCGGATTCCGACTGACAACCACATTCTTTGGAACCTTCCTGCCCCAGGTATGGAGGGGCTCACTCAACCAGCTCAAGAGGCGGGCTGGAGATTCTGGGGAAGGAAGGCCTGGGCTCTGCTGAGACTGGATGAGAGAACTGGATGAGGCACTCCCTGTACCCCATCCAGAGGCAACCCAGCATGAGAGAGAGGAAGTGGCTTTATGCAGCCTATCCCAGTAGCGAGAAAGGCTCCAAGTACCCAGGCCACCAGGCATAAGATGGATATGGACTCTTGGCCATTTAGTAAATATTTTTTCGTACCCATTATGTGCCTGGAGCCCTGTGTTGGGAACCCAAGAGAACAGATCATATTCCTGCCTTTCTGGAGCTCCCAGTGCAGTGGAGAGAAAAATACCATTCAAGTGCACAAATAATGAGTAAAACCAACAGATGGATGAGGTTACTATAGACAAGATGGTTGAGGAAGGCTGCTGTTTTCATCTGCTTGGGCTGCCATAAAAATACCACAGACTGGGTGGCTTAAACAACAGGAATTTATGTCTTGTAGTTCCTTAAACCAAAAGTCCAAGGTGAAGGTGCCAGCAGATTCAGTTTCTGGTGAGGGCTCTCTTCCTGGCTTGTGGATGGCCACCTTCTGGCCGCATCCTCCTCACACAGCCTTCCTTAGCACATGCATGGGAGGTGTGGGAGAGAGCTCTCTGGTGCTCCTCTTAAAGGACACTAATTTTACTGAATCAGTGCCCTGTCCCTATGACCTTGTTTAACCTCAGTTACTTCCTTGGAGGCCCCATCTCCAAACACAGCCCCACTTAGGGTTAGGGCTCCAGTATAAGAATTAGAGGGACACATTCTATTTAAAACAGCCTCTCCAGTGGTGGTACCCCCCAAACTTTATATACAAAGAAGTACAGGTTGAGAAATGGCTGGCAGGAGTACCCAGGGATATTGTCTTGAAGCTGCATTTGTATAAAAGTCACATTCTTTTTACTCAGACTAGGGTTCACCTGGGGAAGGATCAGTGGGTAGGAAAGATGGGGGAGGGTGACCAAGTCCCTCCTTAATTTCTCCTGAATCTGCTCTCTGAAGAGATGACACTGAGGCCTGAAGCAAGGGAGAGCACCAGGCAAGGTAGACATGGGGGAACAGCATTCAACAAGAGGGAAGAGAAAGTGCATAGGGTTTTAAATGGCAAGAAATCAGGTTGTGGGCTCAGCACCTGTGGCTCAAGTGGCTAAGGCGCCAGCCATGTACACCCAAGGTGGCGGGTTCGAATCCAGTCCAGGCCCGCCAAACAACAATGATGGCTGCAACCAAAAAATAGCCGGGCGTTGTGGCGGGCGCCTGTGGTCCCAGCTACTTGGGAGGCTGAGGCAGGAGACTTGCTCGAGCCCAGGAGTTGGAGGTTACTGTGAGCTGAGATGCCACAGCACTCTACCCAGGGGGATAGCTTGAGGCTCTGTCTCAAAAAAAAAAAAAAAAGAACTCAGGTTGTGTTGGAGAGTTGCCCGTGGCCAGAGATTGAGGACAAGAAGTAGAGACGTGTAGGGTCAGGTTGGGAGAGTGCCAGGCTGTGCAGTCTTAGAATTTATTCTCGGAGCAATGGGAAACTATTGGAGGAGTTTAAGTAGGGGCAGGGCAAAACATGATTTGGAGACATTTTACCAAAAACTACCCTTTTTTATTGGTTGTCCCCCCTGGGGCTGTAGGTGGCCAAGAGTTTCCCTGACATGTTCATTAACCTTGCCATCTCAGTCTCCGCCCCACCACACGTGTCCATGCAGCCCTCCGGCCTTGTCCTCACCCCTATCCTGGACGTCGAGGCCTTTGCTGTCCTCCCTAACACCTCCCTGGCTCCCCTCTTCCTGATTAGCACGGTAAGCTGTTCCTAAGTATGGGCAGAGGGGGAGTCCTGGGTAGTGCCCAGAGCACTGTCCTTGGGGTTAAGAGACTGGGTGTCGGGGAGCACTTGTGGCTCAAAGGAGTAGGGCGCTGGCCCCATATGCCGGAGGTGGTGGGTTCAAACCCAGC